CACCCCTCAGTCTCCTCCAGGCTACAGAGCCCCAGCTCCCTCAGCCTTTCAGCCCGAGGGAGATGTCCCACCCCCTCATCGCCCGTGTGGCTCTGCGCTGGGCTCTTCCCAGCAGTCGGTCCAGGCCCTTCTCCCACCCACGCTGCTCTGCCGGGGTTAAACACGCCGGATTAAGTTGCTCCTGAGCCACACCGAAATGAAAAGAAAACCAGACCCTTAGTGTCTGTCCTGGGGATCTTACACGCGGAGGGCAGCTGGTCTGGTACTGCAAACAGCAGAGGGGGCAGCCCGGGTGGCCAGGGGGACTCCCTGAAGGCACTGGGTGACCCACGCTGTCCTTCAGACCGCGGGCTCGTTGGGGCAGGGCCTCTGGCCTGACTCCCCACGGCCACACCTTCGGTCTGTGACACCGACGGGATTTCGTACACCCCGAGCCGCGGGTTTGTGGCGGCGGCGATGGTCCCGGGGCAGCGGGAGGCAGAGCTCCGCCTCGGCGAGGCGCGCGTGGCTTCCCTGAAGCCGGCTGCAAACGTCTGCGGCTGGGGAGGAAAACTCGTGCTCTTACGTATCCCTGGTTAATTTGTCATCTCTTTTGTGCCTCGTGAAATGACCAAATAAAAAAGTAACTGCTGTCCTCAAAAGCTGTGTCAATAAACGCTGCTGCTGCCCTCGCAGTGCCCAGCAATACTGGCTGAGGTTCACTTTTTCCGGGCAGGCCGCTCCCACCCTCAAGTTAACCGTGACACCAAGTGAACGCCGACACGCAAGGAAGGAGGTACCAGCTGACGGCAGGATGATATGGAAGTAGTAAAAGGCGCAAAGTAAACTCGGCAATGTCAGGAAAACGGGGTTTGGTTTGGTTTGGTTTTCAGAGGTATCCAGCAAAGAAGTGGAGTTACCGGCCTCTTCGAAGCAGTTATCCAGCCTCCCCCGGGGCGACGGTCCCGACCTGTCAGGGCTTTGCGAAGGACGTGCCGTAACGCTGCTGAGGAGCCTCGTGCTGAGCCAGGGGCAACCTGGCACGGCCCTGCCTTTCGCAGAAAGCGTCACTTTAGAGTAAGACGACGTGACTCATGAGGCCAATCTCTTGAGCAGACGGTTTCTTGACATCAGACTTGACAACAATGAGGTGACGATACTGCTGTGATCCCAGAGCCCTGACCCGAGCTCTCCAGGATGACACCACGAGCGTGGTTGTCTCCGTGCCCGGCCATTCCCCCCCTGCCATACCTCTGCTCTGCCTTGCAGCGACCTTTGCTTCTGCAATACGCTTTCTCGGTAACTCCTGGTGGAGCTTTGAGAAGTTTTGCTCACGCTTCGTGGAGGGAAGCCCGAGCTCCCTGTCACGACTCAGTCTCCCCCACAAAATCCAAGCTGCATGGCTGGCTCTGCAGCCTTCAAACTTCCGTGTAGTTTCACCTTCTTGTTGTGACTTTTGACCGTGTGTTTTCCACATCCCCCTTCTGCCTGAATTCCCTGAAATACGGCAAAGCTTTCGGAACCAGCAGTTGCGAAACCCAAGGCTGTTCCCTCGCCTTGTTTTCGCCGCAACACCTGCCGACGTGCTGGCCGAGCCTCCCCTGCTCTGCGGACGGAGACCGCAGCTCCTCGAGGGCCTTCGTTGTCTTCGGCATTTCCCGTTCAGGGTGAATATTTTCAAACCTTTACACTCCTGGAAACACGTTGTGTTTTGTCCTTGCTCTGAGACAGGGAATCGATGTGAGGTGTGTTTTGTGAGGGGTCTTGGTTCCAGCTTTTCTGACAGCCCCGTAACAGAGCCCTGGAAAGGCGAGCGTGGCCCCGGCTTGGCCACCACGGAGCAGCCCGTGGGGGTGATGACAGGGAGTTATCGAAGGGGTTTGCCATCCCGGAGACCAGTAGCTGCTCGATAAGCACCATCCTAAAGAATAAACTCGCTGGATGAAACGATTTCCCCTCTCCCCAGGAAAAACCCAACCCTTTGAGCCAGGGAGATGTGACGGCACGTGCTGCTGCTGGAGCCTTGGCGACCAGCGGGGCGGAGGGTCCCGTTTTCCGCAGCTGCTGAGGGCAGCGAGCTCCTTCGCCTCGCCTTGCCGCAGGGCAGCGCCCGGCCGCCTTCACCAGCCACGAAGCGCCCTGGAGACGCCGCCGAAGGGGTTTTCCCACCCAATCTGCGCAGGGGACTGAAGCGCTCTCTGTGTAACTCTCCCTTCCCCACGGAGGACAGCTCTCGGGCAGCCACAGCTCCGACGGCCACGAAACCGCTCCCTTTGTCCCCAGAAACTGCCACCCTGCTGCTGCTGCAGGATGCAGCCTCGCTCATGTGAGTGCTCGTGAAAGGCAAACCAAGGTCCTGCTCGCTCTCTTTTCTGGCCATCCAGAAGGAATCTTGTCTGGCCTCTTACTCAGACGCCGGAGGGGGCAGTTCTTTGGTAGATGAAAAATCATCCGCGGCCGTTGCTGAGGGTTTCGAGCTGCCAGATGTAACTGGGAAATGAAAGGGGAGGCAGGGCTGAGCCTCTCAATTTGGGCTCTGATGATGATAATGATTCAATTTAGGCTCCATCAAAGAAGAAGGGGAGGGAGGCCGGCGAAGGCGGTTTGATCACACGGTTGCCCATCGGCCAAGTCATAACCTGAGGCACGCTACAGGCAGTTCAGGGAAAGGCCAGGCTCTCAGCCCTGTCATTACCGGCCCCGCAGTGCCTCCGGGGAGCGAGAGCTGGACCACGGGCAGAGCTGCTGGTCGCCCCGGGTGGGTTTGGACGCCTGGCTCGATGCAGGACGGAGCACAAGGCGCTTGGAGCTGAGTCTCCATCGCGTGGCTACCCCTGAGAAGCTGTGGGAGTTTCTCAGGTGCACCCCGGGGATGTGTTTGATCCTCCTTTGCTCCGGCAACGTTGGCATCAGCGTCTCCCACCCATTTCTGAGGGCACACGGTATTGACACAGACACCAGAAACCCACCGGAAGGATCTGAGGGATGGGACGAGGCGGTAAGGAGACGTGTGGCAGCCAGCGCACCCGGCAGGTCGTGCCTGACTCGCGCTTTGCAACAAGCCACGTCCTTAATCGCTTTTTTTGGGACCGGTGCGGGCGCAGCCCCAGCGACAGGCAGCTCCGCCAGGCGCGTCCCTGCGATACAGCGGCGGGCCCGACACCTCTGGCGCTGGGAAAGCCCTTCACGGCTGCCCCGGTGACCTCCCCGGCACCCAGGGATGACAAACAGCCCCGCCGCAGGGCCAGGCTCTTTACCGGCACCGTTCCAGCGCGGATGCGATCAGATGAGGATGCGATAAGATAAGGAGCTTCCCCCCGCCCCAGCTCTCTGACCTGCGCCCCCGCCACCTGCACCCGGGAGCGTTTGCGCGGTAAAAGCCGCGGGACAGGGAAAAGCCGCGCGGGAGTTTGCCAAATTACGGAATTTCTGCCGGCGTGACTGGGCGGAGGAGGAAGCGGGGCAGCACCTGCCCCCAGCCGCCCGCTCCAGCCTATTTAACCGCGGGAGGCGTGCCCGGTGCTGCATCTCTGCTCAGCCTCCAGCAGCCCTGGGGAGGGAGGAGCGGGCTGGGGGAAGATGAGCTGCGGCAGGTACCCCGTGGATGTGAAGGCTGTAGGCTTGATGCAATGCAGGAAGCAGAAGGTACTTGAATGGCTTTTTTTTTGGTTGGAATTTTTTTTTTTTTTCTCCTTAAATATTTACAAATGGGGAAACTGGGGGGGTTTTTGTTACTCTTGCAGGGGTAGGTTTGCTCATTCCCCCCCCCTGCAGGGTTGGGCTTAGAGCCTCGTGATCTGGGACAGGGGGCTTGGACGTGGTTTTTAATGGGCTTAATGGCATAAGAAAACGGTTATCTTGGATTCTGCTGCCTTTCTAAACTTCTTCTGCTTTTAACAATGATTACGCACTTGGGGCCCTAAAATTAAGGAGATTTTTTGTAGGGTTAATGTTTAGTTTAATTTTTAATACAACAGTCTAGCAGCCCAAAGCCAGAGCTAAACCACAGCTCCTGCCACGTGCCGATGGCTCGAAAGCAACCAGTAGTGAACCCTGTAATTAAAACAAACGCACTCCTTTTCCCTTTCATTTTTCCAGAACTACATGATGTTTGTGTCTTGGTCAGATCAAACCAACATTCTCATCTACCGGACGTTTGAAGACTTTAAAAGATTCCATGTAAGTGAATATTTCCCTGAAAACAGGATTCCTGCCCGGGGGAGGGGGGAAGGAGCCCAGCCGTGTCACGGGGCTGCCAGGCACCACCGTTCTCTCCTTCTCCTCACTTTTAGAGAGAGCTGAAGAGGAAATTCCCCATCGAGAGCGGCTCGCTCAGGAGCTCTGACCGGACGCTACCCAGGTTTAAAGGTAAGAACGAATCTCTGATGGACCAACAAACACGAGAGAGCTGCCGGGGACAGCCGTAACGGGTGACACAGAGCTCAGTCTGAGGGTGACCCTCCTCTGGAACAGGCGAACAGCTCGCTCCTGCTCGTGGCTGGGGTACACCAGTGGGCTTGGGACCGTCACTGACTTAAAATAACCCAGCAAGACTTTTTTTTTTTTAATAGCTAATTGCACTTGGTACATTGATGTTACACTTTAAATATTGGCCCAGGGCTCCTTGCAGCATTTAGGTGTGAACAAAGGTAAATTTGAGATATTCGGAAGTTGTATCGGGCGCTATTAGAAACGACGGGGAGGCAGAGAGCGCGGCTGCCTCAGCCTCTGGCAGCTGGGGCCTGGGCAGGGCAGGGCGGGAGGTGAGGGCAGCCCTGGGCTCAGGCCCGAGGTGCTGCTCTGGAGGCACCCACACCCCTTCTTGTCTGACACCGACTTCGCTCTCCTTGTTTTAAAGGCGCAAACGTGAGGCAGAGGAAGAGTGGGAGGCTGAACGGGTGCCTGGAGACACTGAAACTGCTGGAAACTTACTCCCAGAAGCTGCTGAAAACGGATGCTAAAATCTCCCAGGGTGAAGATGTGATTCAGTTTTTCAAGGCGCAGACCCAAGACCTAGATCCCTCCTTTCCTGAAAACAGGTATGGAATCCTGGTTGTATTTCTTGTTTGTACGTGTCTCTGCGAGAGAGAAACGGCCCAGGATACAGGTGGAAGAGAACCAGTGGTCACACACCGGGGCGGCAGAGCAGGAAGCTCCACCGAATGCTTTAGCGCACGTTCATGTTGTTTCTGATGCCTCAGCTTTTCTTAGCCGACTGCCCAGCTGATTTTACCAAGGTTAATACTAAACTGGACCTTCCATGTGAGTTTAAGTAAACCGATGTTAACCTTTACTTTCCAGCGTTGTGATCATGCCCTCAGAAATGGGAGGGGAAAAGAAAAACCAGCCCCAGCAGCAGCTCTCCTCTATCACACACCCCCAGGCGTCCCAGAGCTACAGATGCATCGAAACCTTTGAAACCAAAGACACAAAGAACAAGGCTTTCATAGTCACCGAGAAGGAAATTGTTGAAGTGTTGATCAAGGACATGACTGGTACGTGTGACAGGGATTCTCTGCTTTCCCGGCCGGAGGGTGCAGATCGATTCACAGCTCGGCAAATCCCGAGTCAGGCACCCCGGGTGCGGGTGGGTGTCTGTGCTTACCCGAATTTGCACGGAAGGGAAGAACAAAGCGTCAGCATGAGCTGCTCTGCAGAACATCCCTCCTGCCTCTTGTGGCCGAGCAGCCCCTACCCAGGGATTAGGGTCATCTGTCTGCTCGGAGGCTGTTGAAAACCCTTTTTTTTTTGCCATTTGCTACAGGATGGTGGCTGGTGGAAAACGCAGACAAGCAGATAGCCTGGTTCCCAGCCTCGTACCTGGAAGAGATTGATGTCCACAAGGACACCCAGAATGCCCCGAGCTCAAACGAGGAAGGTAAGTCTGCTTCTGAGCCCTGGGACAGCACAGTTCCTGCTTCAAAAAAGATGAGTGCTGCAAAACCCCCCCACCACTTTAACCACTGCTTAACCATTTAGCCATTGCTTGGAGTCGCTGCCTGGAGCTCTGGCTTTTCTGATCCTCTCTGGGGCTCTGAGCGAATCAGTCGCTCACCGGGACGCTTGCCCTGCGGCTCTCGCTTGCTCCCCAGGGCTGCCGAGCTGCTCCCTCATGAGGATTTTTCTCTGCGAGGCAAACCCAACCTCCCCCTCCTCTCCGCAGGCGGCCTCTACTTCGTCGCGCGGGCCTACGAGTCCCGGGAAGCAGACGAGCTCTCGCTGCACAACGGCGTCGTGGTGGAGGTGGTCAGGAGATCTGACAACGGCTGGTGGCTGATCCGGTAAGGAGCCTTCTCCGGAGCTCGCGGTCCCCGAGGGAGCTGGTTACCGGCTGCAGCTGCTCCTTTGCCTGCTCCTCCCCCAAGAGGAGCTCCCCCCCGAGCTGACTGCTCTTGGCTACGGAGGGTTTTCCCCTTCCTCGTGCCCCGTGTGCAGCCTTGGGCCGTGTCCTCACCCGCGGGCGCTCTGCTCCCTCCCCTCAGGGTGAGCCGGGAGCCGGGCTCCTCTCAGAGTCGCTTTTCCTCCTTCCCCCTCAGATACAACGGCCGGACTGGCTACCTGCCCTCCATGTGCCTCCGGCCCTACAGGAACCCTCACCACAAGCTCCAGACCATCATGAGCTGCGGGCTCAACATCTCCACCCCCAACCTCTGCTCCTCCCCGACGGCTCCTCAGCCCCGGGGGGAGGCCACGGGGCAGCGCAGGGCGCAGGCTGGCTCTTCCCTTGACCGGACTGAGGAGGACGTGAGCTCTCTGAGAAGCAGATCAAGGTCCCTGCCCAGGGCCAGCTCCACCTCGGACCTGGAGTCGGACAGCTTGTCCCTCAGCTCGGGGAGCAGCAGCGAGCGCGATGGCCGGCTGAGCTGGAAGCCTGACTTGTCGAGATCCCTGCCCGAAGTGGAGCGGGCCAGGAGCCCTTCCCTGGGGCAGGCCTTGGCCGCGCACAGCAGCAAGTCTCCATGCCTCACCCCCAAGGACAGGAACGATTCTGGCTTCGTGGAATCATCTGCAGCCGATCTAAGCTACTCCCTCACTGATCCCGACTTGGCCGCTTGTGCCCCCAAAGTGCCCGCGCGCCCCTCGGCCCACGAGATCCTCCAGAAGTGCAGCACCGTCACGAAGCGAGCTGTGCAGCAGTCTGCCCCCCGGCCGGCCCTCCACGCTCTGCGCCCCCTCCCCAACGTGCACTAGCGACCCCCGGGCGAGCAGGGACCCTGCCCTGGGCCGGCACCACGACGAGAGCCGGGCACCCTCCTCACCCCCATCCTGCTGGAGCGTCAGGGCTGGGACTTGTTGCTTTCCAAGGATCCTGACAGAACATGCAACCGTCACCTCCCTGGGTAACACCTGCCTGGCCAGGGAGCCAGGAGGGGCTTTACTGGAGTCAGTGGGAGAGGATGTAGTGGTTTAACTGGTCAGGGGAGTCAGGGCAGTCAGTCAGAGGTCACTTCAGCCGCAGTTCATTCTCCCTCAGGCAGGCATTTCTCAGTCAGTGAGGATTTCACCGTCGTTCCTGCGTTACTCCCCCCTTCCCTCTGGTGCTGCAGCCGCCCTGGTGAGCAGGAGCAGAACCCAGAGAGATCAAGTGACTTAGAGTCACCCATGAAATCCAGAGCTGCAAGTACTGGTGTGGGGCAGGAATGGGATGAGGCAGCTGTATGAACGTCATCTACCTGAACCCCCTATTTTATGGATTTTTTTTTTAAACTCCCTGATTTTTGGGGTTTGTTTGGGGTTTTGGGGGTCGATTGGCTGTTTTTTCTTTTTTAAATTAGATCAACTTGAGTAGCAGAGAACTGGCCCTCAAACACGGGAACGGGCTGGATCTGCTGAAGGGCTGCGAGAACAAAATCCCCCTCATCGCTGCCCGTTCCCTACAGCGACGCCTGTGCAGGCACAGAACCACAAGCGGCTGGAGAGCAGCTCGTGCCCCAGCTGGGTGAGGGAGGCAGAGCTCGTTTTTATGAGCAAAACATTCCCCTTTCATCCCCTTGATCGTTACTGAAACTCACAGCAATCCTCATCCTAAACGCGTTTGCTAGAATTGAGTTTGAAAAATAGTTAGAGGAGAACTTAATCTTTTTTTATATAGATTGCTACCTTTAATTTCAGTTATTCTCCCAGGCATCTGTTGTGGGATTTTTGTTTGTGTGTGTTTAGTTGTTTGGGTTATTTTTAAACAAGCAATTTGTGAAGTGTTCATCTTGTTCTGAATTTTATACAATTTTGTCTCTAAAATAAAACACATGTAAATACCTACGAGAGCTGCTCAGGTTTTATACTTCAAAAATTTGCCAGCCGGGGAATTAAAACCGCGTTGATCTCCCCCACGGGTGCCAACACCTGGGGTGGGCACGGGCAAGCGACCTGCCTCGGCCAGTTTGTCCAAGCAAAGAAATGGTTCAGTGACACAACCCTGACCCTCCCCGGGCCCAGCTGGGCTTTGGGGTACGGCACGACGCTGCCCGCGGTGCCTCCCAGCTCCGTAAAGTCTTTAAGTCCCCAGCAAAGACCAACTGCTCGTCCAGAGCCGGGCTCTGCCTTCTCTCCACACCACGTGCTGCTTACGTGTCCGGGCCTGAAAATGCAGGGTGGGAAACCACAAAAGGGAAACCACAGCTCGGGCAAAGAAATGACCTTTTCCTCTCCGGAAGCCCCAAGGAGACTGAACGCTGGGCTGGTTTTAGAAATTCAAACTTTAGAAATTTATTATAAAAATACAGGAACAGTCCAGTTGCCAGACCCAGTGGGAAAGCAGTTGGGACTCTCTCTCCCCTCCAGAAAGAGCAACTGGTGGGAGGAGGGTCACAAAGCCGCGTTCTCCTGCTGGGCCGCGCCAGCCGGCCTCATGTTGTGCCACATGAACTCGATGAACATGGAGGCCTGGAGCAACCGGCTCAGCCTCTGGAAGTGGCGCTCTGCAGAGAGAGAAAGGCAACGGTTGGCAGCGCAGGAGGGACGGCTCAGCAGAATGGGGGGCAAAAATCTCGAGGCCAAGGCCAAGAGGGAACGTTCACCGGACAGGAGGCCTCCGGCGCGCAGCCCGCGACTCACCGGTGTAAGGCAGCAGGGACTCCACAGCGGGTTTGATGCCCGAGAACTGCAGGAGGCTGTCGGGTGCCTCGTGCTTCAGGAGGGTTTCGACGACCGCCTGGGCCTCGTGGCAGTTTCGAGAGTTCGTGTTCCACGTCACCGAGAACGTTAACACCGCCTCTGGGGAGGGAGGAAATTCGGCTGTGCCGGCCCTGCCA